AGTGTGCATGAAACAATGAGTATAACATTCATACAAATATATTTATAATGACAACCTAATGTTTGGAATAAGCCAAGTTTTGAGTAATTTTCTTAATTTAATGTGTTGGTAACTTTTGCGAGAAGAAAATCATTGACATACATACTTTAAATAAATTATCGTATATCATATTAATCGTTTCGTAACTTTTTGAACTAAAACATGCGATAGCGATAAAGAAAAAAAAGCTGTTGGTTAATGTGAGTAAAATAAAAGTAAAAATTTCATATTTTTCATCATTTATAGTGTATTTACAATTAACTATGCAATGTTTGTGCATATATCTAATTTACAGAGATATGAGAAATCTGTATAAAGTTTATGAAAGCTGCCACTGCAAAACGCACGCTTTATTTACAATAGCCATGTTAATTTAACTTTGATTTAGTAATTTATAGATATTTAATTTCTTATTGTGTATAAATCGCAAAGGTGACATGTAAATCTTTTAAACATGAACATCTTTAAACGTTTAATGCAATTAACAGCACAGCACATTATTATATTCTGAAAATTATTTATAGGATGTGACTTAAAAAACAACTTTAAAATTATTGTATGTACAGAACACACGTTTGCATCCTAATAATATAGATATTCCTTAATGATGATATGCCCTATACAAAAAGATAATAAAATAAAGTTGGATTTTCTTATAAAATATTAAGGTATTATGATCTACATCTATGTCAATATTGTACATTTTTTGAAAGCAACAGTAAAGATTACTTTCATATTTGCTAAGCCCATTGAGCCATAAATGGTGTTAAAGCACCTCTTTGCCCAAGACCTAATTGTATATGTTGCATGTGTATTTCGACACAATTTTGAAAAACTTGTTGATTTTGAGGACTTAATTTCGAACGTATTTGTTCCATAGTACCTTGTAATACTTTCAATTCATATGCGTTGCGATCCGAATCAGATAAACTCTAAAATATAAAAAAACATTGTCCGGCATTAAGATATCAAGAAAATAATATTGATATTAAAGATATGGTTTCAAATTACCTTTACTTGAAGCATTAGAGCTGTTAAATCTGTTACTAACTGAGTCATTTTACCAGGTTCCTTATCATTGATGATATTATTTCTTGAAACAATATCTGCTGCTTCCTGCCTACATTTTTCACGAAGATGTGAAGGAGCTAACATGGCTGCTACACTAGGTTCAGGAGCCATTTCTTGACACAGTTCCTGAACGTCATTAAGAAAATCTTGAAGAGCAGTATTCATTTTGTCTAGTTCAACTACAATCCTAAAATGAATACAAATACGTGTAAAAAACAATGAAAGACATTAAATGTAATATATATTGTCAGTACAGTACTCAAATACCCTGCATATCTTCTTTCAAAATCCGGTGGAAGTGGTTCCCCGAATGATCGTCTTTTTTCTGCCTCACTGTTCATCTCTTTCAATTTTTTTATTTTAACTTTTTTAGCGGCTAATATTTTAGTTACTTTAACCATGAATTCTAGCAATTTTATGGGATAACCATTCATTGTTCCACCGATATGAGATTTCTTTGGTAAAGATACAGAAGCGTTAGATATTAAAGGATCGCTGTTTAGCCGCGGAGACATTAATTTCATTGCATATGGTGGAGATGGTACATATTGTACATGTCGTGGTCTAAACTTTTGTGCAAATGAGGCAACACTTATTGTTTCTGGTGGTTCATTTGACTGAAAATTATAAATAAATATTTAGTAATACAGCGTTGTAAATAACTTTCTCTACTGTAAAACGAGTGTATACACACCAATACTTCATAATCTGGGACACTATGTGTTCCAAGTCCGGCGCGTTCAAATGTAATTCTATAAGTGTTATTACTAGTATCCACAGCATCAATACTTCCAGTAAATAATCCATCTTGTGGTTTTCTCAGTCTTGCTGTAACTTTGGTACCTATTACCAATTGTAATGGTATTTCTGGTGGTAAATCCTTGAAACTATTAATATCTGCAGTTTTTCTTTGCTGTAGCATTCGAATTTTTTGTCTTTTTCTTTCTAATTCTCGTCTTTCTTCCTCAAAAAATGATTGTGAACACCTTCGTGGTTTACCCATCATTCTTCTTATTTTGCACCACTCAACACGTGTTAATTTCCGAGTTTTTAATTGTGGAAACGATTCTTTCAAGCAAATCATAAAATCATTATCACCTTCAAAAAGGGTCCTGTGTAAAAGAAATAAAATTTAAATTATATTGTATTAAATTGTATATATATGAATTCACATTTTTCATACATACTTATCAATGTTACTATAAAACCACTCGTAACAAACCCACTTGTGTGCTTTTGGTAATTTCAATAAATTTCTTAATCTCATACCAATCTTTTGTCCAATTTTACGATCCGGTGATGATGGTTGCATTGGTTTATCAGGTTCTTTCTCTTGTTTAATTGGAGTCATTGAAGATGATAAAGGTTGACTTAACATATTATTTTTTCTTGGCTCATTAGTTATTCTATTTTGCTTTTTTGCAGGAGATGGTCTAGGTACTTTTTTAGGAGATTGTTTTGCATCTGGATGTGATGGATCTTTTTTGATCCTGAAAATAGACAAATTAATATATGTATAGATCCTAAATTAATCTCTGTTTATTATATTTAAGATTTACCTATGATGAGGATGATTAACTAATATATCATCATAAAATAATTTATTTTTCTTTCTGATTCTTGCTGGCATTCCTCTCCGATTTAAAACTTGAACAGGTTGGCTAGGAGGATTTGGTTTTGGTGGTGGTTGAGCACCTACTCTTTGTAGCCCTAAAGCTGCAGGACCAAGCTCAGGAATTGGATCAGATTCTTCTGTATCCATATGTGAATCTGTTGAATTATTTGAAATATGTTGTTCATCCATATCCATTGTATCATCATCAATTATTTCAGTTTTAATTTCATCAACCGCTGGATATCCTCCATTTTTCATAGATAATAGTGTCTCAGCTGATTCACCTAAGATTAAAAGATTATTTATGTATTAGGTGATGAAATACATTTATATATTTAATTAATATTAGGCTTTCATTACATCTGTTTCTGATTACGCTCATCTTGCTACGATTAAAAAAAAGTCTCAATACATTTGAGTAGTATATCCATTATTATTACCTACATACAGAAAGGTCTAATTAATTGTTATCATAAAAACTACTTTTTAAGAAAATTTAATTTTATGCCGTTTCCAAGAGGTTTGAAATTACCATTTCATAGTATAAATTTTTGAAGATTTATAACTTACAAAAAATTGATGCATAAAATTGCTAGCAATGTTGGGCATAGTCATTTATTTATAAATATGAAATATACTTGTTTCACTCTTTTTCAAATTCTATCATTAAAAAGTTGTTTAAATTGAGGCGTCAAAAAGAAACGAGAAAATCATTCTGCTCTCAGTCACCGACATAACCAAACTTGTACGTAGTTCCGTAAACAGTATGTGCACTTATTACATTAGAAGAAAAGTTATAGAATAGGTGATATTATGAAAATTATAAAGTGTATTGTCAAGTTTTTGTATCTAAAGTATCATTTAGTAAATGAAATCTTAAACGGTAAAAGTCTACATTGTCCCGCTTGAATTGTGTATTGGTCATTTTTGAAATTTTAAACCAGACCTTTCCGAGCGCAATTAAAACACCAACTGTAAGTCCATAAACATCCTATGAAAAGATCTTATATATTGATAGAGTAAAATTTAAAACTTTTCTTGCTTTCATGCAAATATTTTTTGTTTTTAATTAGCCCTTGTTATATTAATTTTATCAAGAATAAGTTAACTTTTACTCACTTTCAATAATCTCCGCCATGTTGCTATCAATGATGCATCATGGGTATGTGTTTCCTTCGAGCTCGCCCGCTTCGCGGTGAATTTCGTTAGTGGTTCTTTTCCACCGTTCCAAGCGCTCTGATTGGATAAGGAATACCTTTGAATAAGGAAACAGGCTTAGTGAAATTTTTAAATTTACACTAAACTGAGCGCAACATGTTGTACAATAAATCTAAAAAAAAATACAAAAGAATTTAAAAGATTTCACATCGTATAGAATTAATAAATTAGACATAATCAAATTCTATATCTGTAGATACATCTGTACTGCCATTTCTACAATAGTACACATATCATTATTGAATTATATTACACTCTGAATTCTGCAATATTATTTTAATGTCAATTCTAACCCAACATGCTGCAAATAAACTTTCTTTGGTTATTAATGATTTCATCAGTTAGCATGGATAATCTTATCTCGATCGATCAGTCTGTAGCTCCTACTAAATATTGTAGGAACAAGGAACGATTAATAACGTCCGAAGAAAACGACGAGTATTTACTTATTGGCGCTGAGGTCGACACGATCGTTGTGATGGAATGTCGGTTTTGGTATGAAGTGTATTACTTTATTAATGAAAAGAAAGAAACAAAAACTTTTATCGTTACATTTACTTTATAAGACAGTAACGAGAAAAAGGAGGGAGAAACGAAAATTTGGTATTACCAAGATCGCTACAGAGAGAATGTTGAGAAAGAGATTGAATTAGGAATGGATAACAACATCTCGTATAATAGAATTTACACTACCCCGGATCTTTCTTTAGTAGTAAAAGATTTTGCGGTGACAGACGCTGGCATTTATTTGTGTCATGGCGCGGAAGGGCAAGAGGCTGAAAATAAATTCAACTATAGAATCGAGCGTAATACTTTTAATTAAAATTAACAAATTATTTAAAATATAATAAACATCTAAATATTACATATTTAATCGAATAAAAGTTCTTTTATAATAGCAGTTTTCAAAGAACACGGAGTCCTCTATACGGAACAAGGGAATCTAACTGAATGGGAGAAATATCGCGAAGTATATTTGGCATCGGTTACCACACGATTTGCCGTACGATCGTTATTCATTTTACTCTAGATTCGTGTGAAACATTCATCAAATGTTGGCCCTTCGTGTTTATGTATCGAATGTGGTTTGCATTAGGTTTCACAAATGTCTGAGTTAGCTGAAATTCGAGAGGTTGGAATAACGCTACAGGTGATTTCTGAATGGGCGCCTTGGAGCCTGTGCGAACATTGTGTACGTAATCGAGGTTATAAGACGAGTTTAGGAAATTGTCGATTAAAACGGCACGTAAATATGGTAAGAAACACGTGTTACAAGATTTAAAACACCGATTAAAGTCGTTGTATCATTATAGACGATTGCCAACAAGAGTGACTCATCTATAGTTAAATTTTTTCGAAAATCTCCATCACTACCCTGCAAGTAAGCAAATGAATTTTTTTTTTTTTTTACACTAAATTACACGAAAATACATGTTCTCATAATTACCGTATTTCGTGGAAGATCAATTTTACTCGAAGAAGAATTTCCTGCTATCAGTACAGCAGTGCGTCATTTGCCGGAGTATATCTTGAAGGAACCATGCAAAAAATGTCCTCGCGTGAAGAAGAAAAAGAGTGGAAAGTTTAAATACGTTAAACGATTTGTACTTGCAGAGGGCGCTTATCTTACCGTCATTTGTCCAGAGTAATTTAATTTTTTGGTTATGTATCAAATACGTGAAAAGAAAAGAAAAAATGTAAACATTATAGGTCAACCAAGGATACGCAAGTGTCGTGGAAGAAGGATTCGATTACATTGGAAAAGGGAGTCCGTCGATCTTTTCGCAAATTGGATCCAGAGGCTCGCGTGATAGTGGACGCGTTTGGATTGCTTTATCTAATAGGTATATGTACTTTGAGTAGATAAATTAGACATCGTGCTTTACAGTGTTTCCCATTCTTCACTGTATACACGTATCAGATGTTTCGGCTCACGAGGAAGGGAACTACACGTGCTACATCGATAATATAGGCATGATGCAATTAAAAGTTATCGTTATTCTTAAAGCTAGACTACTCACGCAAGGTGAGATTTTTATTAAGTGAGTCATAACGTTGATTACATAGAATAACGTTAACAAGTAAGGTTTAATTAATTATTGTTCTTTTAATAGAATTTTTACGTCACTTGGGATATCTGGGATTCATATTCGTATTTTGTTCGTTTTGCTACTGCAGTGGTTTAGTTTACACGTGCAGAAATAAACAGAAATTTCACATAGCTGCACCAAAAGATAACACAATCGAGGAAGATGAAGAAACTGCCCCATTTATCGACTGAAGTTTGTCTCTCAAAATATCACCGGATCACGAAGTATTTTATTTTCTTATCGAAATATATTAATAGCACAGCATGTTTACCGACCGAGTTTATCCTCTTTCTTCGAAAGATTTCTTCTATGGTATCTTCTTAAACAGGCGATGACCTTAAAGGTAGCCAAGTGAAAGGAGCCAGTGGTAGGGATAACTGCATGGAGTACGTGTCCGTTTCCTATAGTCATAGTTTAGTTTCAAAATGGCTGAGTTTGATCGTTCCCGTCCCCGTGTGCCAGTTCAATTGTAAAAAAACTATTAATTAAAATTACATGTAATTGTACACGGAGTAACGATAGGATGAGTTTAAGGACAAGAATACTCGTGGTGACGATTGTTTGCCTGGTTCTACTTCAGAGCGCAACCGGTAAGTTTCATCTTACAGATTGCATCTATATACAGGTGTATACACATTGTGTGGACAATGTCATACTTTCACTACATACCGGATAGCGCATCCTTTTCGCCGAGTGTAGTGTTATTCTTTTTTCCTTAATTGCAAATGGTATTTACGATATCTCGAAGGTGATTCTGACGAAACGAACGTTTCACGTTGGTATAATCACAACACTACTGATGGATTGCGCACAAACACCAGTAGAAGTGTAATTTATCGGTGCTCCCTTTTAGGACTTCTCCGGAGATGTGTGAATTGTAGATCAAGGGGAGATTTAGGATCGTGCAAGGATCCTTTCACTATGAACTCGACGGCTATTGAAATGGAAAAAGGTGTCGACGCTGTTCCATGCGCGTCTGGTTGGTGCGGCAAAATAATTGAACGGCACGGTTTGAACAATGGTAAGAATTCGATACAAAAAACACGAATTTCTACAGAATTGTTTTATAAAGAAAAAAAAAAAAACGATATTCTTTCCTACAGAATATGGTACCGCCACTCAAAGGCTTTGTTTTCAACGTGGACCCGACGACGGTGAAGAAAGATGCGCGTATACCGTGTGGAATTATAAAAAGGTTTACATGTGCCTTTGTTTGGGAGATTTATGCAACGGATCAACCAGACCGGCAATCTCCAACGGATTGATCTTTACAATGTTTTGCGTTTTACTTCGGTGGTTTGTTTGAGCAATATCAGTGACAAAATTTCAAATGTATATTGTTGTATAAAAAGTTCCTCGTATCTGTATATGATATGTTTAATCTCCAAGTGTAGCCAGTAAAGTATCAATTTGTCGTTAATCTTAAACGAATTACCCAAAAAGTCTGTAAAAAATATACGCTAATTTTATTTATAACTTTCTATCCTATGTATGATAATCACAAGAAACTGAGGTATACACATTTCGTATAATAAATCTTTGTACAACGTTGTACAGAAAATCGGTACAATGTTTTATTGTATAAACATTAACGACGCACACGACAATTTGTGTACATCACGGATTCGCGAGACTGTGTGTAGAAAAATCTATTTGTTCAGTTATCTGCCAAAATTTTGTTTAAATAAGAAGCAAAATTAATTTAACAACTATACAGTAAACGGAGTAATATAAATTTCCTTTCATATCAGAGATAGTAGTTAAGTTCGATCACTTTTCCTTTATCATAGATAATACGACGATCAATTAGCCCATTTATAAATAAATAACATTATCGTTAATAAATTCCTCTAATTGTAAGTCAAGCTTTCCTAGCGAACGGAGAGATAGTTCTTAAACTATGCAATATATGGTCGTGGAGGCCGTTTCGTCTTCTTTCTTCCTGATTTCGCAGAAGCGCTCTCTCGTGTGGAATATCGTCGAAAAACAGTTCGCCTTGGCTATAAAGATATTTTACTGCCAGCATTGCTTTCTCGCCAGTTAATAAATACGGGTCGTGATATTCTGAAATATATTATCAAACGTACAAACAAACGTTTCTCGTTTCATACATACGTGCACGTATAATAATATCCTTGAATTCTCCTGATCTACTCTTGCGTGTCAAATAATATTTACTCACCGAGACCATTGGTAAAGTCAGGTGTCGCATGTCTCGATTCTTGCGAACTATAACCGAGATCATTGATATCTATCGGCGGAATGAAAACTCCTACCGGCCATAGTGCTTCGGCGTTTTCCGGTTTAATGTGCACCGGTGCAGCGTTACCTGTATTGCGTAAACGTTGTCCTGTGAACAAGCATAGATAACAGGGTGTATATAAAATAACATCAATATTATTTCATAATTAACGAATATTTCAATTGCATTACAGCCAGGCCATTATGTATTTTGCCCCTGTGTGTTTATCATAGTTGAAACATCATCGTACCAAATTCACGGGGATTTCCTGTTGTGCTTCTTCTCCCAATAGAGACGTAAGATCTCTGGTCGATCGTCCGATCTCCTGACAGATAAGAATTAATTTAACATCGCGGTTAATGCAACGATTCTTTTTTCTCTCTCTCTCTCTTTTCTAACGATACGCCGTGTAATTACATTTATGGACTAACCGTCTGTCGTAATACCGTGCTCATAAATATGCGGAGGGGATATAAATTTCACGTGCACTTTCGACAGGGGCAAAGCACCAGTTGCTGTCACCGCAACTAAGAGGATCGCCGCCACTTTCATCTGTAATTAAAATTCTCCACGTTTACCACGTGTCGTTTCCGGGACGAAATTTAAACAAAGGACGAATTTTCAAAAAGAATTAAATTACACATCTGCGCGGGTTCTTATTCTTCACGCAGAATAGGGTGATGAAGGAGGAGGAGGAGGAGGCGTGATACACATTCCGAAGGATCGACATTTCACTTTTACCATAGTGTCCTTCCTTATAACTATACCCATAAAACCGGGTCAAGGTACCTCGGACAGGCTAATATTTCTCTACGTTCTACCAACCAAGCCGGATGGGCCGAAAACGAACGAAACCCGAAGCGTAGAACCGGCATTCACGAAACGATGACGCCATCGGGACGAAGTTGGTCCTGCTGTGAGTGAAACGGAACCGCGGGATCGCGAATTCCTTTATCTGACTGAAAAAATGAATTGCTGGCCTGCTCCCGAGCTGCCTAATACACAGGCCAGAGATAATCTGCTAGGTATAAACGTTGATCACGGCCTGTGGTGGCTGACATGCTCCGAGCGTATCTCATTACGGATATGTAGAAGATAACGACGTAAGTGGAGTCTCTCCCGAGGTAGTGATTTGTTTGCAGTCTCTCGTCGTCGTCGTGTATCATCATCTTTCGGATATACATCATCCGAGGCCAGTATTAGGCAAACTGTTAGACAAGCAGATCGGGTGGTTACCAGACCAACAATCACGTGGTGCAATGTCCACTGAAACAAACAATTATCCTTCGACACGGATATACCCTCCATACATGAAACGAGTTTAAAAGCAAATCCGAAAGCGTTCAGTATAGAGGCAACATCCTCGGACACGTATCCGTGTAACTTTTTCTTCGCTGTGTGCTCAGGTGTAAATACACGTGTAACCAGGAGTGTCTATGTGTGTTCTGCAGATGTACGCAATAGATGACTGTGAATTGGTTCGCTCATACATGACTCGCAACGGCGCGCGTCTTGCGAGGGATTACATAGATATCTATTCGCGATTTCGCCATTCTGTTGTGCATTCGAATAGGAACGTTTGTAGAAAGTAAACGTCCAAATGCTTGTTCATAATTTACGCGAAACGCCGCTCTCTTTTCCTTGTTTCGGGGATCCTTTTGTCGTTCGCCAATTTACCAACGATTATCCTCTTCTTCGGAGCGAATTCCGCGTGTTCACGGTTTTTCGATTGAGTCGTGTCGTGTCGTCGTTTTCGACGAAGCTCGTTATTAGATAAATGTAAACAATAGTATGTCAATTTACGGTGTTTACTCTGGATTTGAACCGAATGCAATTCCATTTTACCGATTTGTGAAAAACGGTATAGAGTATCGTGCCGTTGTTTTTAACGAGCTCATCATGGGATGAATGTAAATAAAAAATGATGTCAATTTACAATATTTACTCTGGATTTTAACGGAATGCAATTCCGTTTTATCGATTTATGAAAAACAGTATAGAGTATCACGTGGTTGTTTTTCACGATCTTGTCGTCAGATGGGTGTAAATAAAAAACGATGTCAGTTCGCAGTGTTTACTCTCGATTTTACTCGTTTACGAACAGCAGTACAGGGTGTCGTGACATTTTTAATCAGTACATCGTCAGATGGATGTCAGAAAGGAAAAGAAACGATGTCAATTTACAGTGTTTACTCTCGATTTGAACGGAATGCAGCTCGATTGAACGGTTAAGAAACCATCGAGTTGCCAGTGAAATATCAATACAGAAGCGTATTGATTGTGAATGTGTATGCTGATTTAATACGTAACGTGTATCCATGCCGCGATTGAAACTGGATCGTAGATTTTCATTACCCTACACACAGAAAGAGTGCACTTGTGCTTGACAAGAGCGTTATTGTATCCAAGATAGCAACGGCTAAAGATATTCGCGTGTTCGACAGTGCGTGTCAAACCACCCTTTCGCCTTCCTTTCCGCTCACCTTCACTCGCCAAGTAGAGGTGGCTCCTGTTAATTCTGCGCCAATTGTAAGGTAGCGAAGCGAAAATGCGAAATAGCGTACGATGGAAAATTCTTTCACCGTTTACATACGGACCTTTTTTTCTGTCGTTACGGAAGGTCTTTGTTTGTGAAACGTTTCCCATCGAATGTCTTCGTTGCACCGCCGAATAAAGGAAAAACCAGTTGCATCGGAGAGAGAAAAAAACTTGCGAGAGAAAGAAAGTCTAGAACGATTTCCACCGAATCTAACTGAGCAACGATAATCGTTCTCCTTTTAAAAGAGAAGAAATTCGCTTCTAGAAAGTATACCTGTTGCGCGTAAACATGCATGTTAGATAATTGCACCGGTGTTGAATCACGCGAACGAAAGTGATTAATATTAACGGAGAAAAATCTTGACAATGTACACCGATGTTATGTCATCTATGGAAAAATCATCGTCGAAGTAACATTCTAGCAATTAACCCAGTCAAGTGTCGCGTCCAATTAAATGTAGAAACGGTATAAGCGTACAACCTTGGTTTTATTGTACGCAAGAATTCTGTGAAGTCGTATATACGCACTTGCTGCGATAATACGCAATTTTATTTCTTATTTTTAGTTGTAACCGGTCGCGAGTTCCGATGCTTGCGAACGAAAATGTGATATGAAGAATTGAAAAAAAAAGAAAAAAGGACGATGAAAGAAGCTATTTTGTAAAATATCAACGATCGTCGTTTCACTCACCGTAATCATCGCATATAACACTGGGTGAATATTTCAACCACTGACGCTTTAGTTACGTTCCGGTACGTTGCGTCGTTTATTCACTTGGCGTACACTCGCGCGAAAACAAAAATTCCGACGTGGCCTTCCTGAAAGGAATCGGTGTAGCGTCTTCTGGACACGACCAGGAACTGTTCCAGTTTAAATGTCTCGGGAGAATGTCGCGCGTGAGTTCCAGCATCCCCCTTCTTGTTATGTACCCCACCTGTAGAGACCAGGTTGCGAAGGTTCGTAAGGACTCGCACGGGGACACGGTAGAACTTTCATTTCGGTGAACGCGATGCAACTATCTTTTATACGGTTTTGAAGGTACCGCGCTCGAGGATGACCAATAGCTGCGCTCCGTTGGATGCGCACGGACGTGTTCTTTTTGGCGGGTTACGCACACGGTCCTCTTGCTGCCGCTATGAAGTCGTCAAAAAGGTAGGAAATTGTTATTTTTGTGGAATAAATTGTCGTATTCTTTATTGTCAGGCACGTTTGCGGACGGAACGAGTTAATGTTGTTAGAAGTAATCACGAGTTCGTTCGAATTTCGGAATTTTCTTACGCAGGCGTCGAATGGCGCCTTGGTATTTTGTGACGTTTCAGATTATGTTTGAAAGATAAGTCAATTTTTAGGAATTTGTTGTATGTATAATTGTACAAATTTGAGATATTTCTAGTTTATTAATAGTTAAACGTTGAATTTGGCAATTTTAGTACGATCGTTTTGGAGAACTATGTCAGGTCTTTGGTTAAGATATTTCTATGGATTTTATATTTATATCAACTTTCTGAAGAGCCTAACGATTGCTGATATTAGATTATTGAATGTACATGTGAATGAAATAACTGTGATTACTAGAAATGGAATTTATATTGCGTTCGCAAAAGTGCCAAATTCGCGCCCTTTTTTGTTTCTGTGTAATGGCGGTGTATAGTATACATTGTGTAGACAGTGCTGAAGAATTTGACTTTAAAAATATCTGTTTACTAGCTTGGGTCGTTGTTGCGTAATAATTGGCATACGATATTCTAATTTACTTTGTATAATCACGTCGAAATTTCATGAAATAAACATAACCTTAAGCAAGTGTGTAATTCGTTGTTTAATGAAGACTTCAGTTTTAGTAACAAAGAATGTGACATGTTACAAAAGCCACGTTTCTATTCGTTAAACAGTATATAAAGTGCTGTTTGGAATGTTATGTTAAAGTGTATAATAACTAAATGTGATGTTGCAATTCTTAAATATCTATGACTACTGTAGAGTTGAGTAGGTTAGCTTTATAGGTTGTCGTATCATATTTCACTTTCTACAGAAAGACTGTTCATTAGTTGTAATATTATTTACAAATTTTATCAACCATTGTGAAATGTACTTAGCAATACGTAAAGAACATCTTCTATTACCTACAGTTAGCCAAAACATTGCGAAGATAATGCAACACGCTGTAACAATAGCTATGAAATATTAATCGACTTTCACGAGAAGCATACGTTATAATTTCATTTATTATTTAAAGAATACAATTGTTCACATATATTTCTCACATGTGGTATCACTCTAAATCACAGGTCGCTATGTAAAGTAGTTCATTATCATTTAGTAGATACAATACTTTCTGAGGAACTAAAAGCAATACTTCATTTAGCATCATTTATTTTAACGACAAAAATTCATTCATTTAATTCACTTCATCTAAATTGCTTTAGGTAACGTATGTACAAATTGTACTAATTACAAGAGCAATCAACATTGGTGTTTTTGCAAGATGTAATGCATATACATATACATATATGTATATATATAATTTAAGAAAAGTTTCAAGTACTACCATGTTAATATTACTACTGTTTTATGGCTGTAGGAGAAACTTGGTAGCAATGTACCTAATGCTAAAAATCTACTATTCCGTTTGTTCTATTGCAATAAAAAAAATTCAATTGAAATTCCTAGCAGTGATAAAACATCTCAAAGTTCATTCTATCTACAATTAGCATCTAATTTAGATTACTCTGAATTACAGATACAACTTCTACAGTTTAAAAAAGATATACGTACTATTGTACAAATGATTTCATTTGGCTATTACACATAATCGTTCTATAATACAATTATTAATCAGTGTTAAAATACTGACTAGGTCTTCTGCTTACGTTTCTTAAGATTCCATTGGAAGTGTAGAACGCGCAAAAAACATATTTGCTCTACATTAAAATACTCTGAAAGCTTGCTGCTGCTACATACGATTGGGTATAATTAAGAGAAAAAAAGATTTAATAAAAAAACGTGATAACACATCTCGCGGCTCTAATCAATCGTCAGCCATCACGTTCATTCTCACAGTGCGTTTTTTTTTCACCCGCGTTTTGCGTAATTACGACTGCACGATCATTAGATCATAATAAATTACATCATGACAGAGCGCATTGCTCGATCTAGTTACGTTAGAATCAATGTCATTGTATTTTGTTCTATCTATCAGTATTCCTAATTCAAGAACGGTGACACATTTTCTCAATCTACCATGTTCGATCTATGTGACAACTAATTAACGCAGCTAACGTACCATTAAGATGTTCCCTTAACGAAGGAAAAAAGCAATCCCGCTCTCTCTCTCTCTCTCTCTCTCTCTCTTGCCAGTTTCAGATCAATCGGATCTCTTCTTAATTAATCTCCATCTTCTTTCGCCTCTTCCTTCCTTCCTTTCTCTCTCTCTCTCTTTCTAACAGCCGTTACATCGATTTAACGTCGCTTAAAATCATGCGCGACACTTTCCAGGGATAAACATCGATGCGCAATTTGTCTATTGCGTGATTTATCGTTACTTTTGGTACTCTTTGTGTATACTCGCGAGGAACCAGAAAGCCGCGGCTAGGAATATCGTGCCGGAAAGGTCGCCGAGCGCCGTTAAATACGGTATCGCCGAATTATCCGGGTCGATTTTGTACCGCCACATAGCGTGTATAATGATATGAGCCACGTAGAGCAGCAGTAATACCTACGAAACGAAAAATTCGCATATTTTTCCACACCGTACCAAACCTTTCACTTTTTCAATACCGGAGAGGCATCGAATGTTCGCCGGGGCGTATTATACTCACTTGAAGAACCGCTACCACGATGTAAGAGACTACGAAGTATACCTGTACAGTCGATACTCCGTGCTTGATGTAATCGGCGAGGAAAATGAAGATCAACTCGCCTACGATCGCCATGCAAATGAGTATTCTGGAGGTTTTCGCGTACGGCGCTAGAGCGAACCAAGACGGGCAACAGTTAGTACAGGGAATTGTGCAATTGCCGGTAAAGTGTGTAACAGGTGGTAACATTTAGTCGTTCTTGCATCACTTACTGCCTTTAAACAACGCCGTCCACGGAGCGACGAGTATTTTCGAATGCGGCGGTAAAATCCCCATAATCGTCGTCTGATGCAACGTCGTTGAGATTCGAGATGCTTGGACCGATACTAAATTACCACCGATTCCGTTTATGATAGGCTGGAAGATCACGAAACCGTGGAACGAGTCGACCACTCGATCAAGCACCAAACCTCCGAATCTAAATTCAAACGTAAATCAATATGATTCATCTTTCAGGATCAAATGCACAGGGACAAATAATACGAACCCGCTGATGAAGAGAGCGGACAAAACTGGAACCCATCCGGAAGTTAACACGTTCCTGGTGTATTTATTCTTGAGAACCACGTAGATCCAGAACGGTAAAATTAAGAAGTAACAACCAAGTATGATGTACAACAGCCACGTTTCCAGTCTCATTCTGTGGAATAGCGCGGACGCGATCGTTGATAGCACGCTAATTGACACGACGTCTCCGAAAGAGGCGGCCAAAGGTGTCGCCAAATTGTCCGGATTCATCTTGCACCGGTACGAGATCATAATAACGGCGATCATTACGAAATCTGTTAGAAGAGAACATTTTATAAACACACCGTACACGATATGCATCGCTCGTCACAGCATAGTAAGATAAAAAGGAAAAGAATCAAAACAAGAAGGAGAATTAACGTGTTAAGCATGAATTAGCTTTTTATCGCTGTATCTAAGAACGTGCTTCAATGACACATTAGCAATACAAAATCGCGGACTCGACGTAGGCAAGAATGTCTATTTCTGTCTGCTACTTGCCGCTCTCGAAGAAAGATTGTGAATAATATTCAATTGGGGTAGTCCGATGCTAACCCGAGAAGAAGAACCAGCGCGTTACACCGATATTCAATTTGTAGTACAGCGAGTGATCGATGATAATGATTTTACCTAGAATGAAGCAAGAACTCGTGGCGGTGCAAACGCCGGCAGTGGCTAATAACAGACAATTTTCCCATTTGAAGGTGTACGCGCTGCCTTCCGCGATTGCGTCCACAACCACGGCGAAAATCGACACCAGAAGAGCCGCGACGATCGCCTGTATCTGCACCAGCGCTATGTTCCCGATGATCATCTTCGTGATCTCGCGACAGCCGTGCATGTTGCCAAGGTTCGCTTGCGTGCACAAGCGCGAGGCCAGGCACATGTCGAGATTGCCTTTCAGCCCTAACAGCGAGGGCACCAGAATGAATAATTGAGAAACCGCGCGAAACACTGGCCAGTCCTAAAAACAGAGAGGACGTTTAATTAAAGAGACGGTCCCAACACCGGTCTCCGTGTGTTTCCTCCGGCGATTCTTACGAACGGAATGCACAAGAATTTCTACATTAGTAGAAACCGATAAAATCTTGGATCGTTAAGCGTGGAGTTGCGTTAAAGATGCAAAAGGAAGGTGGAGAGCAGAGATATATTTCTGTAAAAGATTCTCGAGATTACAGACCGCGTTGCTACGAATATATCGTTATACAATTATTTTTAAACGAAACACAGAGAAGCGTGCTCTCGTATGCGTTTCGACGTTATCTACGGACAATGGGTTTAAAGTACGATATCGATAAGAAAAACGAACATGTTATTTGAAGAAAAATACGTGATTTACAATCGCGAGGTTTCATCTGTTTTCAAGATGACGTAAAGAGAGGCAAGTTTCACAACGATTCGCTTTTATTTTACGACGCATTATTAAAAATGTGTCGAAATGATCGGCGACGTACCTTGACCTCTGCTAGCACCAGTCCCGCCCCGATCGTACCGATTCCAGCGATGAAGAAAGGCACGGCGACTTGAAGCGTGGTCTGATACCATCTCTCGTCTCTGTACGCTCTGTTGCCAAAGCCATCCCCGTTATTACCAAAGGAAGGATCAGGATCTGAATTTGCGACGGAAGAGATCGTCACTATGGAACTTCCACTGGAAAGTGATCCAGCACCGAGATAGGGCAGTGACATGTCCGTTTTGTTCTTTTGGCCGTTAGGGCTTTTCAGACCCGCTATCGAGAAATCAATACATCTCACATTGCCACCGTGCCACGGTTTCGACGACGTTTAACTAAACACTGGGATTTCACCATCGAACGAATCACGCTTTATCAAACCGCGTTAATCATCCTATCGGCCGGAACTAGACACTTCCATTTAATTCTCTCTTTATCGAGGAGAAAAAAGTCGCGGTTGTCACGTAAACAATCGAAGAACGACACACCAGTCCCGTCGTCGATCGTCGCTCGAACTCTTTTCGCTACTTTGCCGCGCGAATCCGATCTCGTTTCCTCCTCTCGCTGTACACGTACGTGCAGATGGAAAATAACGAAGAAGAAGGTTATCGTGTTAGAATGATGTTTCTCTTTTTCTTTTTTTTTTAATTTGTAAGTCGTTTGCAGCGGTATTTCTTCGACGTTTCATATTTTCCCGCCTGTGTTATATGACGCACGTATAATTTAGCCGACGTACGACCGGCGTACGCTTCGTCGATACGCGGTCGCGCGATTAATTAACGCACCGCGGATTTCCATTAATATCAATGCGTCCGACGTGCTCGTGTAAAGATTACGTTCGAATCGGTTCGCCCGGTGTATTCACTCCGGTCTGGGGGCGGACGACGCGGTTGTTTTAATAGAATCGCACAGTGGGAACAAAGGAACTTTTGCGTTATCATCGTGGTCGGCGCGGAACACGATGTTCTCGCGGCGACGCGGTGGTTTCTAGTCCCGCGCGTATAGTTCTCACGGCGAGGAGGGAATTGCGTATCTATAAAAGTCGTACGGTTCGTGACCTTTCGAACGGAGTGAATATACATACATACGTGTGTAACATTCGTGTGTTTCGAGCGTGAAGGAAGAAATTAGCGGAGAAAATCTTCCGTTTCTTTTTCTTTCTCTTCCTCTTCTCCTTTCGGTGTTTTATGTCAAGGCCGTAAAGTTATTAAGAACGGGCCCGTGGTATGTAAATTTGACAGATCGAGGTATTGCTCACCTGCCACTTTCTTTACGACATCAGGTTCCGCTTTGATGTCGGCCTTCTTATCGTTACCCTTCTCGATGCAATCGAAATCTAGCGCGTAGTTATCCTTCCCGTTCGACATATTGTCCCGCTGTATGGTGAACGCGTGATCCTTAACACCCCTGTCGTTCGGCATGTTTGCTAATTGCTCATTGTGATCCACGGAGTTGTTTAACTTTATATCAGTGACGTTCAACAGTGCCGGCTCAATCGACGAGTCCGGAAAAACGACCATACCTGTAATTTTTTTCGATGATTATCCGATAAAGGATAACACACCCAAGCGGTAGAACACGTGTGTGTTAATTACGTGTACGCGACGTCGGTGTTCGAAGGTCGTTGGTTACCGAAGCCGGAATAAATTCACGCAGGTAAAAAAGAAGAAAAAAAAAAGAAGAATGTTGTATACGATAGAATACTCGATAGATCGAATTCGTGGATGGTGACACATACCGAGTACGATGTTGACGGACGATCTTGTGGTATCCCCTTCGAAATTGGCAGAGTCCGGGATCGACCTGTGACAGTTTCACGTCGGACCTGCCTATTTCCGTCAGCCTCGATCTATATGAAACGAGAGAATTTTCAACTACAGATATCGAGTCGATACGGAGCAAGTGTTTCTCGATTAAAAATTACATCAAAGGAAAGGGAAAAAGAGAGAAAAAAAAAGACGACGACAGAAAGAACACGAGATAGATTAGAGAGGAGAGGCAGTTGATTAATTTTCCATTATAGATCGAATTTGATTATTTCGGTACTTATCGTAGTACAAGTACTATATCCCTGTACTACCGTTAATCTTATTGTCGAGAGTACAAATAATAGATGACCGTTATTGATCAGAGAAGATATTCATTAACTGATAATGCCGTGCGCATTCAAAGACTGATAGGTCGCGTCTCAGTCTCAGCTACACTCTTAATGTCGTTGCTCTTACTCTAGACGTTTTGATAGCACATGAAACATTATATACGAGATCAGCATAGTATCATTAACGACACGAGGAACTTAGTTCTTGTATTACTAATAATCTGAGCCCACGTGTCGCAGGATTTAAATTACACCGCGTGCAAAAAAGCTGAAAACAGCTATGCGGTATTTCGCGTGAATCCACTTAGAGGGCATTTTCTTGTGAAATCACTAATCGAGCATTAGCCGGCGCTACTCCGTTTTCTTTTTACGTAACGAGATCGTCGCTTTTCCTTCTCCCGAACAATATCGCTTCCGACGACGACTAAAAAAAAAAAAAAAAGGAAGCGAAATGTTTCGAGCGCGTACGTTATTCAGTACTAACGAAAACTGAACGCGACACATCTGTTTACGGAGATTACTTTTCAGCTAATTATATTTATACGAGACCCTCCTCTCACATGCGAGACATACCCGACCGATAACAATACCGATATCACCTTTTTCGGTGTGATTATCCTAATAACCGAACAACGTCGATAAGCGCATACGTATATGTACATAAACAAATAATAATTAGTTATAAACAAGGTTAACCTAGTAATACGCGACGCTTAGTCACCGTTTTGTATATTTCTCAAAGAAGAAAAAGAAAATGTCGCCTAGTCGTCGTTTTGAATATTTCTTAAAAAACGACGGGGAAGAGAAAAACACGTGAAAAAGAAAATGAAGAAAACAACGGAAAAAAAAGAAAGAAAAGAACAGAAGGCGCCGAGTGAAGAAGGAGTCTTATCTCGAACCGATACTTACGTAGTAACGATGTATTGAAGAATTTGCGCCAGCGTGTCGACGTTTCCTAGTAAAGCGTTTATTGTTCCTTGATATTCGATTAACCCTGCCACTTCTGGCTCGTGGTTGTTCGATCTTGTTGCTGAAGTCGCGTGAGATCTCTTATAGGATTCTTCTCGATCCCTTGCTACGTGGATCGAAATGAAATGCCGCTTTCGTTGACTCGCGATAGGACACTGAGATCAATGATTAATGGTCCACTGTTGGCCGAGGATCGTACACGCAAAGGTTCACCGATATCGCGGGAAAAGAATGAAAAAAAGAACGGAGGTGGAGGAGGAGCAAGAAGTGGAAGAAGGAGAAGAAGAAGAAGAAGAAGAAGAAGTCACGATGTGTCTCGCACGGTAAACGCACCACCGTCGCACAAACTCAACTGTGGGCCTCACGCGGTCGTGGTTGACTGATAAAAGAAGCCTTAGTTCGTTTGTCGGCACTTCAGCCGCTCATGTGCATAGATGCGACGTGTTGCTGTCCGGACATACGCACGTGCGCTATCTCGTCGGACGATGGTGGGGCAGGTTATTGTAAATAGATTGTAGATCGTAGATCACTAATTGATTTGCGACATCGTTCACGAGGAATTTCCATTTGTGATTCCCTTCCATCGTGAAACCATCGAAGTCGTCTTCGCGATCTTCATCGGGCAATCCTGGCCACGTTGTTTCTGCCCGTTCGTGACGAGGATTTCGATTCAAAGCCGCGACCATTATCCACCGTGAAACGTGCGAACGGCCAGCAAAAGACACGAATCGAGAAAAAGAAACCTGGATGGAATCGAAACGTGCCTCCTTCTTTTTCTTCTTCTTCTCCTTTTTCTTTTTTTTTCGTTTTTTCTCTAACGAGATTCAAACGATCGTAAGAAATAGAACGATGTTTCTTAACGATTTCCGGTAACAGGTATCGATCCTTGTAACAATCGAGGCTGCTTAACGCCACAAATTTCATTTGCATCGATATGCGCGCGATGCGTGATTGGGATTTAAAGAGCAAAACAGCCGAGTTATATTCCACTTTTGTTATATTCTTCGATCAGATCCTACCGAGAGGATGTTCTCTACTTACGTTTTCCTCGTTTCTTGTAAATTCTTCTTTTTTCTTTTTAATTGTCTCATTGTTGAGAAACGCGTAACGTACAGAATGACGCTTGAGGCGAAGTGATTCATCAACGCGGGGGAAAAAAAAAGAATAAAAAAAGAGCGGTATGTAATACGGGGAAGTTTCTTATTTCATTTGGCGCAAGAATGGATTACGCGAACCCTCGCATACTGTACGTATATGCATATATATATATATATATTCGAACGAGAAACCGTTCATTGAATATTACTCGATCGATCGGATGATGGGCACCGGTCGCGCTCGCGCCACTGTGTCCACCAGATGCATTCATTTCCATTTTACGGTACACCATGCGATTCGAATGCAATTGCACGACGGTGAATCCGTCAGCTGCACTGTACACGGTCGTTTTCGAAGGAATTTCTCAACAATTGGTATGCTACGCGTGCAATTACGCGGATCGAATAGGATTTACCTTCCTTCTTTTCGATGACGTCACAGGCGCGATTCACCAACGGGGAAGCACGAACACGTGACACGCGTTTGGCCGTGCAACGTAGCTCGTAAATTTGATAGTTCGCATTCGTCACCGTGCGCCAGATAGTCCACGGGTAAAATTATCATAATTCGTTTTATCGATCCGTCATTGCAAGGTAAATTGTTAACGGAACGATAAACAGCAAAGTGTATTTGAAAACGGAAATTGTAAAATAGCGAAAGATATTTGTAGTAATATTAGACTGATAAATCGAGGTGTGTGTGTGTGAGTGTGTCACTCTGTCAGCGACTCGGTTAATTTGCTCGCGAGAACATTCGCAGAATTGTTGTCATCTCTCTATAGAGGCAGTTTCATATTAATCGAGATTGATCCGATCGTCACCGACTTAAACCAAACCAACTAGATAGTATTATTATTGTTTTCCTTACCTTTTTCCACGGGATACTCGCGTGACTTTATCCGCTACTCAGAAATACCCAACGTTACCAACGTGCAACTTTATTCTCCGTCAATTTACTAAGAGAATCGAAAATGCAATTAACGCGACGACAACGACGACGAAGACACGGACTTTACGCGTTAAGCATAATGCTCGCTGATAATCGTGAGTGGCAACTCGCCGTTTCGCTTAGAGATCACTATTAATACGTATGCAGACGCATTTCGTCGGAACGTCTAGGAACGCGACGCTCGAACGAGTTTCGTTGGATCTAACATACCCGTTAGGTATGCGCACCAACAGAACACTAATTTGACGAGAACAACGGCTATAAACGACAACACGAAGTTATAGGTCGCGTGTAACCACGGCCTGTGTCTCGGTATTTACATTCGAATATGTCAGTGGCGGGTACAGTTGATTTCATTTTCTGTTAAAGGGATGATATCGGTGCGCCGGCAAACAGGTTTTAAACGCCGTATCGCGTTTGTTTATTCGTTAAACAACAATTGTGAAAATGTTATTTGACGTTGGAATGCACGGAACGAAGTATAGATATAATGTCTGTATATATATATATATGTGACAGATTTTATAAACGTCACTGACACGGCTAATAATACAGCGAGCACACTAATCGATTCGCGATACCGATTCGAGAATTGTTACTCGCGCGGGGCGTTATAATCAGTTTATTCTTCCGATATCCTTCCAGCGTGAAATAAACGATAAAATCTCATAGCCGCTGTGACATTCGACACATTTCGCTAATCTGAATACTACAATGTAAACACAAACTTTATAGCAGCTTTATTGCTGGTTGTAAAACAAGAGGATCCCTTCTGCGATTTGTAGTGGTATAATCAGCATTATAAAACGTGTCATGCGCCCGCTTGATTAACAGCGATTTTCCACAAGCTTTGCCGTATTTCGTTTCATTTCACGCACACTGGTAGCTCGTACACGTCACTATCCAGATGAACTTTTTCTTCGTCTCAACTAACGTGCAAAGATGACTTCCGTTTTATTTATTCATTAGTTCAGATCTCAATCTGTGTTACTCTCAACCTGAACGTTTTACGCGTGTAATTTCCTTTTTCTTTTTTTCTTTTTCGCACAGGGTATACGTGTATACCTATTGTGTGCATTTTTAACACGAACACGTGGCATTGACAGAGACGTTATCATGTCCGATGCAATATTCTTGGCTAAATAATTACATTAAAACGAGGAAAACAACGAGTGATGCTTTTACGAACAAAGGGAAATAAAAATATCGCGGGATCGTTAGTATTCTCTAGTGAAACAATCCTAATTTATTCGTATTGCTGCCGTACGCGTTTTGACCGGGAAAAAACCGTGTGGAAAAAGAACAAAGAAAATTGGTTTTCCTAATAGAATTTTCTAGAAGGCTAAAAGGATTCACTACTTACGATTCTATCGATATAAATATATTCTCAATTCGCGTACATACACACACACACGCGCGTGTAGATACACGATTCTATCGGAGTGTATTTTTTTTTTAAATTCGATCCCGAGAAAAGATACATCGCTGTTGACCTTCGAATCGCCTCTACAATCGAGAGGCTTGTTTGTTGCAAATGTCTTTTACTACTGATAAGGGGAGGTTACTTTGCAACAATGAGAAATCAATCGAGTGTTGAAAATATATATGTATCTGCTACATGGCAATGTAGTACAATTCAACGAATAAATTCGATTCAATTCGAGTAAACGTCGCGTTGTTAAATTAGCTAAGATAAAGGAAAAATAATCGTAACGCTCGCGTGACGCAAGCAAACTCCCGATGTTCGATCTTTTGCCACCATCAGTGATCATCGTATTGACCTTGTTAAACTCGTAGTTTATCAAAGCCTTTATCGGGCGTATTCTCGATTGGAATTCCATTTCTTTGATATCCAACGATATCTCGCGGTCTTATCATTTGGGTTAAATAATGAATTATAATAATATAAATCTAGCGATACACGTTCCTCTTTATAATATTTCATTTGTATCGTGTTCTATTGTATGATACAGCCGAATATCTAGATTGTACAATTATTGGAATCAGTGATTATTATGATCGATTAATGACTTGATAACGTGGTTCATTAGCGATCGTAATCATCGTACGCGACAGTAGCGTAAAGCATAAGTGTCTAATCTTTTCGCTCCCTTTGGCCACGTTGAACGAAGATAATATGCGAAAGCTAAGAAACTCTCGAAATATGTTAACGAAACTTCCTTTATTTTTTATATTTTTTATTGTAGTGCGATCGAGTCATGAAAAATATCGCTAAAAATCACGTAAATATGTTGAAAGTTTACGATTTCGTGGGTGCGCATCGCTAGCCCCTCGGGGCAATTCAGGGCAGTTCAGAGCAGCTTCTAGCCCGCCGGGCCACGTGTTGGACACGCCTGGCGTGAACTGTAATGCGCTAAAATTCAGGATCGTGTGTGATAGGTGGTTGGAAAGGGACGATGAGTGAAAAAGAATGAAAAGGCGACGTAAATGATTATTAGACTATATTATCGGACGTATCCAACTATTCTTGACTAACAAATAATATTTATCGACGAACAACGAACTTCTATGAACTTACATCGTAATTTTGATTTTCTTCGAATATTTTGATTCTCGCTCCTTCGACATCTCTTCTTCGTTTTCTTTTTTCTTTTCCCCCCTCTTTTTGTACCATCGATCGTGTCAGCACGATCGCTA